GGCGGGTCAGAGGCCCGAGTGCCTGTCCCTCCGTGCTCCGCAGCTGAAGCGTCTGCCCAGGCCTGCTGGGCGGCTGCCCCCCGAGGAGCCCCTGGCCTTACCCTTTGCCCGTCCCAGCACCCGAGGGCTCCTGTGGGCTGGACATGAGCCTAGTCTAGGGCCTCCACTCCTGCTTCCTCTCCCCTTTTGGGATAGGCACTGGCGTGGGGGACACCCTGAGCAGAAGGAAACCGCCTGGCAGAGGCCCGTGTGAAGCAGCCCAGCCTCCACCCTGCAGCCCCTGCTCCCACTTGGCACAGAGGGCACCTTCCCCACTGGGTCTCCCCCCGCCTCCCAGCTGCTGGCCTGGGTCCCCCTCACCCCACCCACCATTACAGCCTTACGGGTGGTCTTTATCAGCCCAGCTATTCATGAGCTGTGTACCCTCAGGCCAGTTGCTTAGCCTCTCTGAGCTCATGGGTAACCGCGGTCATAATCTGTAGTTCTCTGTGTCAGCAGCTTAGCCTCCACCCTCTGCCTGTCTCCTGGGCGTCCCTCCCCCACCCTGCAGCCTGTGGTCTAGACAAGTCTGCACGGTTTGGGGCCCGACTTGTCCCTCCCCAGGCCCCAGATTTCGCTCCACTTCCAGGGGCCTCCTGGCCTGGTCGTCCTATCCGGGCCACCTTTCCCCGGCAGCGAGGGCGTGGGCAGCCCCGCTCAGCAGACCCCGTTGTGAGACCCACAGTGGGCCGGCCCCTCAGGGTTGGCTGTCTCCTCCCTGGTCCCAGCAAGGGCGAGGGCTCACCCTAGGGTGGCCTGACCCAGCCAGTGCTTGTCGCCGCCAGCGAGGGAGGAGGGTGTGCACGCCTCACTCGCCTGAAGGGCGGCACTTCGTGGCCGTGTGGTCCGGGTCACTGCCTCCCACGCTGCCTGGTGGGGTTGGTGGGAGAGGACACGTTCCACGTGCGGCAGCCCCGCCCGCTGGCGGCCTCGGCCACACTGCGCCTGGCACAGGTGCTCTTGCCGGCTGCTGGGCACATGGTCCCTCGTGTCACAGCCACGACCGCCCGGGAGGGAGGCACCGCCGGCCACGCAGGCTGAGTGAGCGGCTCGGCGAGGCCACGCAGTGCAGGGTGTGGTGCTCCGGCCACGCGTTCACCCACAGTCATTCCTGCCCAGCCCGGAAAGGGCTCCCCACCGAGGCAGCAGCCAGGGCCGCAGAATCAACCCCGTGGGCATTGGCACCCCATTCTGAGCCTCCTTCCAGCTAATTTTCAGGGGCCATTTTGTGGGCAGGAGGCGGGAACCATGCAGGGTCTGTCGGGCCCTGCCCAGCCCTCGGGGGCACTCACCGTCTCCGCTTTCCTCACCAGACGTGTTCCAGCTGCCACGAAGCGGGGGCCACCGTCGGGTGTTGCCACAAAGGGTGCGGGCACACCTACCACTACCCGTGTGCCAGCGATGCAGGTGAGAGCCCCCGGGCGCCCTGGGCACAGCTCCTGACCCCCCACTCGGCTTCCCTCCGCTCCTGCCCGGTCCTTTCTCTCTCCATCCCTCTCTGATCAGAACCTGCGCTAGGCAGCACTCGGTGTGGAGAGGAGTGGCCGAGGTGTAAAGCACTAGATGGGGAGCCGTTTGAAAGCCACAGGGCCAAGGGGTGGGGCGGGTGTCAGATCTCAGGGCGGACATTGCACCTGGGCTGGGGCTTTGAGGCTGAATAGAAGCTCACTGGGCGGAGGAAGAGGGAAGGACATACATCAATGACAGAAACCGTGTGGGATGGGAATGAGGTTCAAAACCGTGTTTACGGAGCAGCTGGAGAGGTTCTGACCGGGGCTCAGAGGCCCTGGCTCATCTGAGGAAAGACTGCTCGTGTGCCATGTCAGTCGTGGGGGAGGCAGGATTTGAGGAGCCTGGTGGCAGGGCCCCTGGCATCTCTGCACTCGGTTTCCCATCTATAAACTGGAGTTCGGGTACCTTCTTTCCCGAGCTGCTCGGGGCTGGACAAGGAGCCCGGCCCAGCAAGTGCAGCCTCACTCCTGTTTTGGAGCCAGCCCCCATGACCCCTGACCCCACGCCCTGCTCCCCAAGGCCTTCCTTCTCTGGCCTGGAAGGGAGGACGTTATCATGACCCCACCGTGGAGCACTGCCCCTCCCCCTGGATGCCTGCTGCTCCGGCTCTGCCCTGGGGATCCCCCCCACCCCGCGGGAGCACACACAGAGGGCTGTGGGGTGAGCCCCTCGGGGGGAGGAGGCTGGAGCAGGGACGGGGCCTCGCTGGCTCTAACCTTCCACTCAGCACGGAGCCGGATTTTAACGTGGGCTCTGCCGCTTCCCCAGCCCGTGGCTTCATTCACAGTCAGAGCTGCCGCACGGCGCACCCACTGAACCGGGGGCCCACGCTGTGCCGGGCCGTCAGCCCTCACATCTTCACAGACACACTCCCTCCCCCGTGGCCACAGAGCGCGGCACAGACAGATCTGGCGTGGCTCCCTGGGTCTCCCATCTTGTACTCTTTCTCCACCCAGCACTGTCCAGCCCCTCGCGGCTCCATTTGAGAGGGACAGACAGGAAACCACAATCCTTGTGCAAAATTACAGAGACTAGACAAGGAGAGAGTGTATGCTGTGGGAGGTCCATTCTTTCTGAGCCGGGGGCGGGGGGGGGGGCAGGGGATCCAGGAGGACTTTCAAGAGGAGGCAACCTGTGAGCCTTGCTTGGAAAGGAGGTGGGTGGGCCCAGCTGGTGAGTGTGGGACGTGTGTGCCAGGCTGTGAAGTCTTCAAAGGAGCTCAGCAAAGGAGGGCTCTCTGCAGCCCGAAGCCGCGGCAGGAAGGGGCTGAGGCTGGGAAGGAGAGACACTGGCAGGATAGAGAGCTGACGGGCACTCGGGCACCCGGGCACCGGGGCAGGGGAGGAGGTTTGCCGGGTCCTGCAGAACCTGCGTCCCAGAGACTCGGCACAGAGCCCACACCTGGGTGTGGGTGAGGGAGAGGCGGCGGGGCCCGCTGGCCACCCTCCCGGGGCGGGCAGGGCTGAGGCGGGTGCCATAGTTCATTAGGCACTGCTGCCAACTTCATTGCTCAGACACCAGCCCTCCTTCTCTCTCAGGAGGGCACGGGCCACTGGCAGGCTGTGCTGAGTTCGCAGCGGCCACGGTCCACGCTGGGCCAGCTCAGGCAGGACACCCTCGGGCCCCGCCAGCCGCTCCTCCCGATCATGTGGCCTCTGTCCTCCTGCGGCCTCTGCCTGGGGCCCATCGCTGCGGCCTGTAGCCGGAGCAGGCCGCGTGCAGAGCCTCCCGTCACAGTCCGGGTACAGGCAGGGGCAACCGTCCCCACACGCAGGTGGCATTGGAGGGTCTGCAGACGTGCACGGGAGCTGCCAGGCTCAGGGGATGGGCACCATCATGCACTAGTCGGCAGAGGAGGAGGGGGAGCCCTGGGCACCCCAGGAACAGCAGCCAGAGCCAGCAGGTGAGGCTCCAAGCACAGGGAGGGCAGCCCTTGGGCACAGGGGGCTCTGGGCACAGGGAGGTGGTCCTTGGGCCATGGCAGCTTGGGTGGCAGGGGGCTGGGAGGAGGGAACTGGCCAGGGAGCTGGGCAGCCTTTCTCAGCACCTGACACCTGCCCGACCCCGGGTCTGCCAAGTGGGGGTACGCAGGGCTCTCCGGGTATCCGGGTTGGGCTCAGACCACAGGCCCCAGGGCTGCCCGCTCACTGCCCTGCCCCATTGGCTCTCCTTAAGGGGCACCACTCGGGGCTAAGCCGCGACCCCAAGGACTGGCAGGGACAGGACCCCACGGCCGCCTTTCCACACTCGGGCCAGGGCCACCGTGCCAGTGAGGTCGCAGGCTCCCCTGGCACAGCCACCGAGAGGGCCCAGGGATGGGGCTCAGGCCCTGGAGGGCTCTGGGCAAGCTGGCTGTGGAAGGGCAACCCCTTCCCTTGGCTTCTGGCAACTCAAGCTCTGGGCTGC